AACTTAGAGTAGGTGTCTCATTTATAGACAGCTATGGTTCAGTGAGATAAACTATTTCCAAAATCATTACCCAGTTGTTGGGAAAAAAAAAAAATAAATCATTGGCCAAGTCAAGAGTATCCACAGTTAAAAGCAGCATGCATGTAATTTCCTCTTGCTTCACACCTGGATCCTGACAAGTAGGCCAAGGGCACAGCTAGCTGGCCACCTGCAGCCTGAGCTCTACAGATGAATTCAGAAGGAAGCTCTTGCCTCGCTGCTACTCCCGCAGCTGACAGCCTTTTCAACTGTGTTCATACTAACTCACAAAGCTTGGCTCTAAACAAACTCAAGTCAAGAGAACTCTTCTGTTTGAGAGACCATTTGAGTTTGTGCTTTCACGCCACTGCTGCGCTGCCAGCTGATGCAGTTCAAAACCCTCCTTGAATAAGGATACACCAGAGTAAAGCCAAAGCCAGGCTGGGACAGAAAATGCTGAGCTCAACCCCCATAAGAAAGACTCCAAGAGAGCTTCTGTTGAAGAAAGATCAAGAAGCATCAGAGCAGATCCCACAGATCTGCTGATCACAGCAGATCAAAAACTCCCCACAGAAATAACTTGGTCTCAGCTAATAACAAACACTGCAGTGCTGGTGGACTCTCCTGCATTATGCTGGACAAACATGTGTGACCCTCTCTCCCACATACCCACCAAACAAGACTGGACCTGAAGCTCAGTGAGCAAAGGCAACATGGAAGAAAGTGCAGCAGGCTGCACAGAAAGAGATACAAATGTCATTTGCACTCTCCTCACACACCTTTTCTGAGGAGCTCTGTTTGGAAACATCATCATTGCACCTCAAGTCTCATCCTCTGCTCTTTGTTATCATTCCTGAATGTGATCTTCACAGAGCAGGAAACAAAAGAATAAAATAATATTTGAATAAAAGTTAACACTGAAAAATAATTAATTAGGATTCCTTCCTGCTTAGTTTGGAAAGTAAAAATAAATGCTGACATTGTTAAAATGTAAAGCAATCCTGAATTGGCATTTCTGGTACAGAAAGAAAAAACCCACAAAGTTAATTTTTACTTACCAAAACAATGCAGGTAACAAAAACAATTATGCAAAGAAACAGTAAATATCCAGAAAAATATACACTCATCTCCATGCCTGATTTTCATTCTCCTCTTCCTCTCAAAGTAAGTATTTTGTGATTCAAAACAATTTAGTCAAGATCATTGTAAAGCTGTAATGTCCTAGAGACTAACTCAAAACAAATGGACTCTTCAGTATAGTCTCCAAGTTTATTCAGCCAGCCAACATCTCAGTCTTCCTGTGCTTACAGCCCATACCCAAGCAAAGCACTTAAACCTGGACTTAATTTAAAAAACATTAATTGTTCCTCTGATTCACATGAGACAATGAAGATGCAAGAAGTTATTAAGACACTTAAGCACTTTGTTGGAACAGGGCTTCAAAGGATCCCATTAAAGTCAAGAACAGCCATCTGTTGAGTAAACAGGACAGAAAGGACCTTCTCTGAGAGGATCACTGGAGTTGTACAGGTTGATAGGCACCACACTGCTTTCTAGAACAAATGTTTAATGAAATGTTATTTTTTGTTGACTACACAGACTGACAGAGGAGAGCAGACTGAAATGCCAGTCACCTGAAACATCCTGTGTGGACTTCAGTGTTATCTCCCACTTACACAACCACTTCTCCCTATTGTCTGTGTATATATATTCCCCTCCTTTAATGAAAAAAACCCAACACTTGGGCTCCAAATATTCAGAAGTGAATGGGATTTCAACATCAGATTTTCTTCTGTTACTCCCTTTCATCTATAAAGATGAAATTTTCTCAATTTTTTTAATGTGAGTAGAATCTGCGTTCTTAACCTTTAATTGCAAACAATAATGTTCTAAATGCTAAAAGTTTCTGGGTTATTCAGATTATATGCAAATTTATGCAAAGAAAATCAATAACAAAACATTTGAAGCACCTAGGAGTGTCCACTGATGGACCCAGGAAACCAAAGCAACATGTAAAAACAAGTTGAAACAAAACAAGGAGACCAACAGAACACTTAAGATTTCCTACAATCCCAACAGAAATTATACATTCTGTCTTCAAGAGACTTTTAAAAAACCTTTAGCCTCTTATGCAACTTATAGACAGATTGTGACGGGTTTGAATGGCAATTAATGGCATTGATTTCTATCACTTTATGGCTATTTATATATGGCTATATAAATTGAGGATTGGAAGCTTTTAGAATCTTGCTGGCCTCATTATTCTTCTGCATGAATCCTCTAGAGCTTCACAATGTGCTTGCTTAACACCACAGCACATACATGCTCAGTCCATGAACCTGGAAATGCGTTTTATATCAATCTGTCAGAATTTATTTCCACATAAACAGAAAAAAGCCAAGTTTGGACTATGCTAAAAGTCTTTGCAGTACATGAAAACATAATTGGGATGGACTTAAAATACTTCTGTGGCACAGTAGTGGCAAAACAGGTATCATTAGTTAATTTTAGGACTAAGGAGGCAAAGAATGATTATCTCATTTGTGTAGCACTGAGTTTCAACAGAATTAATTTATTTCTCAACTGGGATACTACAGTCTGAAAGTGTTCCTTAGAAAAGTAATTTTCAGCTAAATGCTTCCAACAGATGGCTGGGGAAATAAGTGTACCTACCAAAAAAAGGAGTAACAAAATACTCAAGAGCATGTCTTTTCTTAGGAACACCAGTGGAGGACGAGAATTTTGGCTACTGTAATACAATACAAACCTACAGTACAGGAGGACATGTTGCAGACTGAAAACGTAAAATAAGGAAGTCTACAAACAGAGGAATAGGCACAGATAACAAGAGAGGATCCAAGGAACTCATACTGCTAAATTGGTCTAGATAGGAGAAGACATTTGTCATCATGTAAGTTAACAGTGCCAAAATGTCAGCGAAGTTACTTAATTTGATAAATGACAAGTGATTGTCAATGTGGTATTTGGTAAATGGTGTTGGTAAACACAAAACATGAAACCTGAAGGTATTTAATGCCATGGATGTCACGCTCTTTCATACTTGCTAGCCTAGACCTGGACCAGCAGTGTGCAACAAAAGAGTAATTTGGCAAATGTAATCTTTTGTCTGCTTGTGAAAAGCATTCAACCACCTGTAATATTCACAAATACTTTGAGAGTCCTGAAATAATTATGGCATGTTGTGCCAAGGAATTTCAGCTTCTGATTTATTTTAAAACTGTTCACAATTATGAGCATTATCTAGAATAGCCAAAATTCCTAATTTCTGATATCTGACAGCCATATAGGCCCACACCTGCTTTTGCCTATGCCTGGAAAAACTGCAGAGCTGTATAAAAGCCTTTTTGTGAAAAAACAAACAAACAAACAACAAACAGCAACAAGACTACACAAAGAGGCTGTGTACAGAGTGGTTTTCATTTTTCTTCTGCAGTAAAGATTGACATCGGCTTCACAGGTCAATCTTCCTTTCAGGAAAAGTTCAGCTAACATTCCTAAATCATGTGACTTAACTTACAATGTTCCAGAACACAGGCTTAATCCAAGCATCCTGAATTTAACAGATGCACATGGTATAAGTCTGTATTGGTAAATACATGGCATGGGCCAGGAAAACTGGGAAAAAGTTGTCTTCACTGCTAAATGGCAGAGCTGCAGAGCCCAGCACAGTCAGAGTTTTTCCAGACAATGCTAGGGCTGTGTTCAGAAGTTAGTACAGTACAGGGACCATTCCTACCAGCCTCAGTTGTCTGAGGACTAACAGAGCTGGCCCTGGCACTGTTTAGTTTGCTAGCAGAGATGTAGCCACGGAGTCTTTGAAAACAGCCCTGCTGGTGGCCAGCAGATGCGCAAGGTCTCTCTTCACCTACTCTACTGTCATGAGCTGCTGATCTCCTGAATGGTTTGCTGACATTGAGCTGCCTCCAATCTACAAGACTTGCACATTCTGATAGGAACAACACATTATTAGAATTTCTAGGTCTGACTTAGAGGTCTGTGGCACTAGGGTAAATGCACAGTAATGGCAGAAGGTAGTGGAATTCACACAGAAGTTTGCTGGGGTGTCCCACATGGGCATGGGCCCCACAGTTTCATTTTGGGTCAAAAATCCAAGCCCATGAAAATCAGTGACAAAATTCACATCAACTTGGAAACAGAATTCCCCCTGTCAAGTTCACAAAAGTGGGATATGCAAAACAAATGCATGCTTCTCTTAACAGTTTCATTGGTGTTTAGATGAGTTAATTCCCAGGTTGTGCATGTAGGCTTTGGGATGAGAACAAAACTGCTTGGCATAATTAGACCTGCAGTATTACATGTTCATTTGCATATTTTGAGGAGACACCTACACACAGTATTGCCATTTGAGGCAGTCACAAGTGTTTTAACACAATACCCCAAGTTTTGAGTTGTGGACAGATCTTGCATTGCATCAGGCTTTAACAATTGCTCAGGCTTTAGGGATAGGTTCATGCTTTTACAATTTAAAAAGATAAGCCTTGGAGTGCTTTGATTGTTTCACTCACAGGAGGTAGATCAAACAGATACTGAGCATAGTTAGTATTTTAAATATCACAAATATTGAGGATTTAAAAGACTGCAAATGAATGTTTTTCAATCATTCAGTGACAGCTTGAACATGTCTGACTGCCTGTGCTATCTGTTGTTGCTTCCAAATTTGGACCACAGCTTTAGTGCAGACTCAGAATCTGCCTTTTCTTCCCATCATCACAATTTTCAGACATGAGACCAGCTCGATAAGTAAAGCACCAGAATTCTGAATTTAGACAGAAACAAAAAGAATAAGTTGAATCACTTCCGATTTTTTTAAAAAAAGTATCCTTATGAAAAAGATAACTTTACCTTATTAATTAACACATATACAGACTTTCAGCCAGAAGGGGTAATTCTGTGGAAAAGAACTGCAAAATAATGCATAGAAAACTGCAAAGATGAAATTCTGAATTTAAAAAGATGAAAGGCTCTTTATTTCTTTGCATTCTTAGTTTTGCATCTCATGACCTTGTCACCTATAGGTGACATCGTACCATTCAGGCTACCAGGACTAGCATTACCATACCATGAAATTGGTTTTCATAAGGAAAGTTCCAGCAGCCAGGTTTTTTATTTTAGTTATGCTGCCTTGGTATTGATATTCTGTGGTGTAGAATTCCCTTCTATGTCTTCTTCCTAGTTAAAGCTAGAAAGTGTAATGAAAACATGACCCAACCCAACTGGACTGATTGGCTTAACACTATATGTCCACTATCCCATTGTGGTTCTCTATAGGCTAGGTCGTAACAGCATCTAGCTGGGCACTGGAGACTGGCCTGCCACAGTGAGACAATGTCAAGTGCCCTCTATTGTAAGTCTACAGATCTTCCTACTGCATCTTTTCAGCTCTTTTTCCTTTACCTCTCTGCCCGGATTTTGTATCTGAGAACAAAGTAGGCAATTATGCGCAGAGAGAAGAAGAAAATTCCAAGAACAATGAAGTCCAGGTACAGTTTGGCATTTTCTACATCCAGTTCTTTCAGAATGGCCTCTGATTTTTGAAAATGGCAAGTGTCATCTTTGTCACAATGCAGATCTTCTCGATCCAGCCCATAGATGGAGAGAATAACTCCTTCAAATCCATATCTGGAAAGAAGAAGGATGGATCACAAGGAAAAGCCCAGACATTGTCTGTTTAAGAAGTACTCCACCAGCAACAGAACCCCTATGAGAGTGTGGCTGCAAACACTGAGGGGTTCAGTATCATTCTGATGTATATGTCTAGGGGCAAGTTCTACCCCTGTTGCAGTGAAGCAAATTACAATGTCACTGGCATTTTATGAGACTGAACAAGGACAGAAGTTTTGCCTTAAACTGCTTCTAGTTAATGTATAGTGCCACTTCTCCAGAGAATGTTCAAATACAAAGCAGACTAATCGCACCTCATCTTCAGAAATCCCCCTTTTAAAAATGGCACCATAAATTTCTTTTTTTTTTTTTTTTTTAATTAAGCAACAGGAAAACAATTATGTTTAAGTCAGGAATACACTAATGCTGGCGTCAACCCAGAATGTCTCTCCTCTCTCCCTTCCATGTGCTACAGTTTCATTAGCAAGGCACAGTTGCCACATATCCCTGTCACTGGGTGCCCTTAGGATTTATCCTTGCAAGCACATACACCATCATGGATCCCACGTGTACAACAGCTCCTGCTGGCTTCAGGAGATCCCACATGGACTAGACAATGGTTTAAGGCCTCACCTTGAATACTAGCTACTAACTCAGGGGGTGCAGTCTCTTAGTCTTTAACAGGCCACTGTGTAAGACCTCATTTGCCAAATGAGAGGGTATTTTAGTTTGGGTTTTCTCAGTAATAATGCACCTTGGGCAGGGTGGGGAAAAGGAGGATGGGAAAAGTCACCTTCCCTCATTTCAGCTATAAACAGGTATCCAAATTATCCCTCTGTGCTAGGTTCCAGAGGTTTCCTGATAGCAATCATCCCATTTTAACACAGCTGTCTCAGACAGTGAGAGTGATTGACACGGACAGGATATATCATGCCTATGGCTCTTGATACACTACTTTACATTAGAGATTACACAAATCTCATGCCTTTTGTGGAAGTGCTATTGTAAAACTTACAAACAGATCTTCATCCAACAAGTCTACTTAGGAGACAGCATTTTCTTCCTAAATTAGGTGCTGGCATCCATTTCTCAGTTGGGCACACTGCTCCTCTTATTTCAGAAATGCACTACTGCAAAATCCATGGAGATCTGCATGTTGTGCAATCCCACTGAATTCAAGGGGACTGTCATGGGACTTGCATCTGATGACCTGTACTAAATATTCCTATTTATTTCACACCATAGACAACATAAAATGCAGCAAGATAATGTGGTATACATCATATGCAGGCTTATATTCTAAAAGAATGTGCTGTGAACATAAGTCTCCTTGGCACCCAAAATAACCAAGCAAAGGCAAACAAACAGCATTTCCAAGGTGTGAGGTTAATGACCTCCCTGGCAGTACCTGACATAGGAAATGTAGGACATCCACTGGAGGTATGTTGGGATGGTATCAAAGCTGACAAAAAACCCAGAGAACAGAAGAACTGGGATAGCAGTAACTGGGCCCACAAAAGTGGCAACCTGTGAAGAGAAGGAATAGACAGCCTCTTGTCAGCCACAGAAAAAAATTAACTTGCTCTTTCATCGAATGTCCTGACCTCCAGTGCAGCCTTTAAAAGAGCAGATTTATGGCAAATCCTCTGTTCTATGCCAAATCCAAACAGGCAGTGCAAATTCATTCTTTAGGCTGTGAGAAGTGATGCCATACAAATTGTTCTTATAACACTACTCCCCAAAATTATCACAGTTCCAAATACCAGGAAATTACTAAATTTTCTGGGCAAAGTTTCTTGTAAGATTTCATGCTATTAGTAAAGGAAAAGGAGTCCCTCTCCTCTTCTAAACACTTCTACTAGTTGAAGATTCTGGTTTGCTGAGATTTGTATGAGACTCCTCATGCTAAATATTATCCTTCCTCACTCACTCCCGACTGATGACACACAGACTTCCCTCCTCATTAACTCCACATGCAGAGTAGCTTCAGCTGGTCCTAAAAGGTGGTGAAGAGGATAGGGAACATCTCCTGCTGGGTAGCTTTGGTAGGGAAGATACAGAGAAACTGGCCCAGTTCCAGCCTGCTCTCTCTATACAACAGGGCTAAGCTGGTCTCCACAGGATGGCACAGAGGAAATCAAGTCTTCTACTGCAGAAATCACAACAGCATCAATGCATATTAATGTCAATACCATCTGTTATTACAAGCACCACTGAACAGTTCTGCTGTGCAACAGCCACCTCAGCACACCTTCTGCCAGAAAGCAGAATGGAGTTACACAGCCAGCTTCCAGTGTCACAGTCATGCCAACAGCTGCTTCTCTCCCTTCCTGTGCTGAGGTTTAGCTTCTGGATAAGCCTTTTCCTACTTGCCTCATGCAACCTTTTTGAAGAACCCCCTCCTGAGCTACTGATCCTCACAGCCTACCTCCACTTTGTAGGTGCACAGAAATGCACTAGTCCTACAGTTTCTAAGACCTGCTCAAGCAGGGACAGGGACAGTCCCATTGAGACAGAGAAGGAACTTCCTATCATCATAATCATCAGCAGTTTCAGCTGATGCTAATGGGAAGCATCAAGGAGCTGTATCAGACCAAGAGAACTTTTTGCCTGTCACCTCTCAACAAATGCCATGGTGACACAGCAGCAGCCACAGGAATCAGTCAGGGTTAGGAGACAACAGGGTTCCTGTGAGGCCACAAAACACCATCGGTACCTGGAGGGATGTAGAGGCTGCACCTATGAGAAGACCAAGTGACTGAGCCACCAGGGATGTCATGGTTCCCAAGGCTGCGAAGAGGACAAATCGAAGCACATCAGATGGCTGTGAAGTCATCCAGTACACAATGCTGCAGTAAGCCACAGGAAACATGATCTGCAAGGAGACATGCTTGGAGTTAGTCCATTAAAGGCAAACATTCACTGTTACTCTGAATAAGATAAAAACACAGGGAGTTCTAGTTGATTCACAGCTCTCAGCCCTTCCATTACATGACAGGAATGGCTGAGGAGAACAAATACATCTGTCACAGACTGTGATATCTATCTTACTACTTGGGCATTAGAAAACAGATCCCACTCACTGTCAGCCCTTTTCAATTCCCCTTCTGCACAAAGCCAAAGATGATAATCTGTTTATTAAAAAAACACTGGGTCAGGTCTTTGCTTTTTTGAAGTTGTGCTGTTTACCCTTAGGGTGCTTCTGATTTGGACCCGAAGCTTCAGCATGCACATATGGACAGTTTCTCCACTATTCAGGTGGTGAAACATAGAAGTAGGTTGCCCAGAGAGATGCCTCAGCCCTGTAAACATTCATGGTCAGGTTGGATGGGGCTCTGAACAACCTGATCTGGCTGAAGGGGTCCCTGCTCATTACAGGGGAGGGGTTGGACTAGATGACCTTTAAAGGTACCTTCTGACCCTAACTATTCTATGATTCTATGATAAAATACCAGCAAGTGGACTTGCTATGGACTGAAATGTTTCTTGTTCTATTGAAGAGTGGAGCATATACCTGAAAAGGAACATCAGCCATGGTTTTGGCGAGATAGTAGGCTTTCAGGCTGTACCAGTAGTTCAGATGCTCTCTTAGAAATACTCCCATCTCAAGAGGAACTGCAAAGAACACATATTAGTGAATTAGGTTGTCAGTGTGCAACATTCTTGCACATAGTTACATATCCATATCTGATCCTGAACTGCTGCAGCCCTATTGTATGAGATCTTTGACAGACCAACAATAGTTCCAGTGATTTGTAATCAGAGATGTAAGAGGACAACCCTGTGAGTTGCTCACTGTCTAGAATACGTACCAGTCTACTCAGATGATAGGAACCTCCCTCAAGGTGGCTTTTTGAAAGTGAAATGGTGTTAAATCTTAGGAAACTGGTTATTCTTTTTGGTTCAACAGGGAATCCAAAGTAACAGCACACCCAGAAGAAGTATGAACAGTCAACACTACAAGAATTTGCTTCTGACACCGTAAGAATGCACTGCTTTCATATAGAAGTCATTACTTAGAAATCTTAGAGAAATTACTACAGCTTCCCTAACCAACTAAAAGCTCATGATGCATTTGAAAGGCACTGGCACCTCAGGAAAAGGGGAAATTCCAGTCCAGGACTGTAACAGTGAACTGTCAGGGTTGAGAAACAATGGCAAAGCTGGGGAGAGAGAGATGCCGCTGAACAAGCCTATTTCTGTTTGCCTCTACACAGCGGTTCAGTGAGTGCAAGATTTATCTCCAAATGTCTTAGAAGTAGAAACACAAGTCAAATGTTCTTTCATATCAAAGACACACATTTCAACACCCTCCCAGTAATCTCCTTGTCCATTGATGATACAGTATGACTGGTACTCACATGTAAGTACAGTTGGCATGAGTGCAGCAAACATAAGAAACAACATAGAGAAAAAGAGGAAGCCAGAGTTGCTGAGGACTTTCTTTGCTTCATTGCCAATGCCTAAGTAGAGCAAACCGATGAGCAGTCCAATGCCAATGTGTGAGGTGATACGCAAGTGTGTCAGGACCTACAAGCAAGGAGAGAGTAGTGTTTCTGATCAGAAAGTCTGGACTCAATGACAATGTGCCTGAAATCCAGTACACAGATTGCAGAAAAGAAGTACTTAGGCCCAGAAGAACTTACAGAGAAAAGGTTGTTTCCTACTGGCAAACTGGGCTTCAGCTGAGGAAAACTTACAGTAATGAGCTCCCCAGAGTCAATCAGACAGTATAGAAATCTACAGTATAGAAAATTTATTCCTGTAAACAAAGGCAGAAACTGCAAAGGCTACAACCTGAAAACTTACTGTCTGACAGTGTCATGGAGCCACTGGCTCTCATTCATCAGGACAAGAAGACTGACTAGAAAATAAATTTCCCAGAGCAGAATGGAGGCAGAAAAGGTATTTCAGACTTGTACACACCAAACTAACTTAACCAGGCATAAATTAGCTGTTTGTGCAGAATTTCTACAAGATGTACAGAAGAAAAATAGAAATAATAAAATATGGAACAACTACAAGACTTCACAGTTGAGCAGGAAAAAAACCTTTAAAACAGGCCCTGCTGGGCCTCTTTAGCTTGGAGAAAAGGAGACTGAGGGGTGACCTCATCAGTGTTTACAAATATGTTAAGGGCAAGTGTCTGGAGGATGGAGCCAGGCTTTTTTTCAGTGACGTCCAGTGATAGGACAAGGGGCAATGAGTGCAAACTGGAACATAGGAGGTTCCATGTAAATATCAGAAAAAACTTCTTTACTGTGAGAGTGACAGAGCACTGGAACAGGCTGCCCAGAGAGGTTGTGGAGTCTCCTTCACTGGAGACATTCAAAACCCACCTGGACACATTCCTGTGTGATGTGCTCTGGGTGACCCTGCTCTGGCAGGGGGGTTGGACTAGGTGATCTTTCGAGGTCCCTTCCAAACCCTAAGATCCTGTGATTCTGTGATACCTGCCTGGGTGCATGGCAAAAGCAGTGTAGCTGCAGCATCTGGAGCTCAGTGAAGCTCAGCTTAGCCTGACACAAGGGTAATTTACACAAGCTGAGCTCCATATGACTCAAATGCTGTTGGTTTCCAAACTTACCTCCCCTGAATCCAGAACGCACCCACCAGTTATACTGTGTCTCTTTTCCCTTGTCTAAGGACTGGTATGTCAAAGTTATACATCAATATATAAATATATATATTGTCCTTCCCCCCTCATGTAAAGTACTGAAAACCTTCCAAAACCCAGAAAAAGCAGCAGATAAACACTACTCAGATTCATTAAATTTCACATTTGCCACAGAGAAAAGCACTTGGCCAAACACTACCAATTACACTGTACATGGGTGAGTCTCTCAGATGGGTGTGCATGTAAGGTCTAGTTGAGGAATATCATGTCCTTAATTTACACCTGTTAATGAAGGGACAATCCCATCTAGAGCATACTTCAAAGCATCAATCAGACAATGTAAACAATCCTATCTCTTAAATTCATAACAACTGAACTACTTAAGGAGACAAGAAAAACTTTCCTGAGTAAAAAATAAAGTGTTCCACTGAATTTTGCTAATGCAAACAAGGCACCCAAAGCAATTAATGAACTTACATCATAACTGTAGAATTAGTGATTTCAAAGACGGGTGTTTAACTTTAAGAAAAAGGAGAAAGATGTGGTTTTTTCCTTGGGAATGATGATTTTTTTTGATACTTACTCCATATTGATTTTAAATGAAAGAAAAAGAGATATGCTCCTTTTTCAAAGAAACAAAATCTTATGTATCTTTTTTCTGTTTCACAAGGAAAACAAAAGACTTCAAGTACTAATCCTACATTACACTGGAATTATTATCTCTGCTACCCTGAATTTTCTGGAAAAACTCACTTTGTGGCACACGAGTACAATTTCCCCCTCACTTTTTAATAGGATAAACAACTATATAAAGGAATTTCCCAGCACAGAAGGGATGTAGGTTTTAGGTTTTTAGCCCAGATGCTTCTGAGTTCCTCTGAAGCAAACTGTTGTTCACAATGAAGATGGTACAATTAACATTAAGACTGAAAGATCAGCCTCTTTCCTTTGAAATTCTGTGACAATCTTCATGCATGGGCTGTTGCACAGGACCTTTAAGCTGTATTACATTACCTCAAAACCAACTGAATAGACCTTTCGGCTACAAAAGTTATTACAATGGCAGTCTTACCGAATCCCTCATGATGGTGAGAAACGTTCTTTTGAAGAGAATACAGAACTGGGTTAGGCAGCTGGCAGAGAAGCTGTGGCAGCCTTCAGTGGAGGAAGAATCCTGTGGAAACACATAAAAGAATAAACTCCTTTCTTTGCAGTATCTTGCTTAGTTTTCTTACACAAAACCCCACTCTCCTCAGCTGAATATGCCCAGAAACCTCCTCCGCTGACTTGAGGATTCAAATTCTCTTCCACTCTCTCCAACCTCAAGCCATACCCATTAGTTGTGACATACAAAATACCTCTTCAGAGGGCCGGTGCCAGAGGAAGGGGTTCTCATTCTCACCACCAACATCTCTCTTGTAGTCTGTGTCACATATCCTCTCCCGCACCGCCCTCACCAGACGGCTGTTCTGGTCTCCATATTCACCAGATGCTACTTCCATAACTACACAAACCAGAAGGTAAGTTACAGATTTACACCACTAACTAGTTACAAGTCTTATTATTTATTTTTGTTTATTTTATTAATCAAGCCCCTTGATTTTGCTGTGCTGATAAAAATAGCAGTCTTGCCTAAAACAGACTCTAAAGTGCCACATACAAATTCCTATGCACACACACAACATTTAACTGCATCTTTCTGCAAATTTTCAGACAGTTCTCTTCAGCCTGGAAGTTAAGTGAACCATTTTATAGGAAAGGGAATGAATATGGGATTGTCTTAGTAATAAAAAATGACAAAAGTCTGGTTTTGTGGTCCTTACTGCTTCTTTGAAATTAAGAAACATAATGAAAAACTCTCAGTGCTATTAGTTGTACAATACTACAGTAAAAAAACCACAATACTGGAGTCACTTTGAAAAGCTACTAAAATTAATTACTATGAAACACTGAAAAATGTGTTTTATCTTTAACTTCCTGGACCTGGACTTCCACCACTTCTAGTTAATATTTCCGTGGAAATATTAACTAGATTTTACCACTAGATGGCATTAAAATTTCTTAGGAAAAAAAAAGAATACGTTTATTTTGAATTTGGGTACCTATACGTACACATGCACAAATGTACTTAAGTATAAAACACATCATGGTCCCCATTACTCTGAAGATGCTAATCAAATACAAAGTATATTAAGTAAACTATTCAAATTGTCCTTACCAAAATCTGCTGGATTGTGGTAGGTTGGGCAATTCAGCCCCAATTCTCTCAAGTAAGGGACTAAGTTTAACACCTTCCCACGGTATATGCATTGGCCTTGACTTAAAACATAGAGCTGGAAAACAAGGCAAAGAATAATAATAAAACAAAACAGAACAAAAACAAACAAACAAACAAACAAAAAATGCAGTGATAGTAGCAAAATATTTGACCCTCCTATCTGCATGACAGCAAACCATGAACCTAGTTGACCTGTTCTTGTCTCTGTGGGAAGAGCACTTTGGGAAGATTTGACACTACTTGGAACTACCTTTGCATGGAATTACAATTAATGGAAAATTGAATGGTTAAGGTTTGAATCATTCCCTCCAGGACTTATAGTACATTAACATGGAAACAGACTAATTCCATCCCTAGACACATGCTGAAAATAGGCAAGGAACAGTATCACCGAGCCATCAAATTTCCACACAGAGCAATTTTGGGTTGAAAGATAAGGCTGGTAAATGAAGGAATGGAAGGAGAGGTGGAACAGCACAGCAATGGGAAACAGCTTAATTATTCTTACTATTAGCTATACTATTGACTTTAAAGAAACCTCCTTGCCAGACTGCCAATCTGCAGGAGCTTGTTCAGCTATGGTGTAGTAGGTTTTCTCTTAGCTCTCACACGTCTAATTTGAATCTCCTGACAAGATTAAAGTAAATTTAAATCTAACCTAAACATGTATGGTCCATACTGGCGTAGGCTGCAGAAGACCTTCTCCTCACTTAATTTCAATTATTATTGTTTCACATGAATAAACTCTTCTGGATTTATGCCTGTATAGCTAGGATGGGAGTATCTACTAGCAACATTGCAGACACTGGCACTTAAGCTCTCTTGCTCTTAAATTACTCTAATTTACTTTATTGCCAGCCCTGTGTCCAGGGACAGTGGTGGGCGAAGGCATGAAAATCACAAATGCAATAATAATGATTTCACAAATATATCAACCAGATTCTTTAAAAGCACTAAATGTAAAGAACAGAAAGGGGCAGAGGAGAAGAAAAAACACAAGTAGATGTATTTTGCCCTTATTTATTTATTTCTTCTAATTAAAAACAGACTAGAATTATTAACGTTTTTACTTAATGACTGTAGCCTTGAAAGTATAACTTACCTAAACCACACATAAAGAGAACAAGTTGGAGAATAATACCTGATCAAACAACTCAAACAGTTTAGCGCTGGGCTGGTGAATCGTGCAGATGACGGACCTGCCACCCTGGGCTAAAGCCTTCATCAAAGAGACAACCTGGAAACACGATGCACTATCCAAGCCACTGAATAAAAGGAAAGAAGCAGCTTGTTATCCACATGTCCAAAGGCACCACTTAAAACTAGCACAAATATTTGCTACTTCGGTCTCTCACTATTATCCTTCTATAAATTTCCTCTGTTGCAGTTTCATTTTCTCATAGGCCAACGTTATGTTTGTACAACGTTATGTTATGTCAGTCTTTTAATTAAGATGGAAGCTTGCCTCAGAATGAAAAATAAGAGTATTCTAACAGTTGCCTTAAGGGACTTCTGAGTTTTAGCACTGTGGTTTTAAATGATCTTGACTTTAATGAATAGATACATGTTCATAGCTCTCCTAGCCTTTTCCTAGACTGATCACAGAATTTTATTCTAAATACGCTGCATTTATTATTGAAAATCACACTTAAGAATGCTTATATTCAAGCTATCTTTGCTTGAAAAAGAAAACTCAAGCCAAAATCTGAAAATAATTTCCTCTCTCTCTCTCCCTTCCTGTCTCAGTTTCTGTCTCCCTTAGAAACTGTTTATAGTCGTCTGGTCAGTCAGTTACAGCAGTGACCCAAGGCACTAAGTACCCAAATCAAATTATTTCTTGTGGGCTTATTCAATACTTAGAGGCAACACAAAATAAGCCTTTTACAAGGATTTAGAGCTGAATAACCTTTCTGCAGCACTGTTCTACCACACAAAGCAATATTTGTCTACCTTTAATTATCGGCCTTGAAGTACCTGGTTGGTTCATCAAAAAACATGACAGGAGGATTGTTCACCAGCTCCAAAGCAATGGCAAGACGCTTTCTCTGGCCTCCAGAAAGTCTTCCAGTCCTAGTATTGGCACATGTCAGCAAACCGAGGGCTGTCAGTATTTCCTTTACCTGGTGGAAACACAACAATGCATCATTTCAATCTGTTGGCACAAAATAAAAGCCTCTTTACTGATTTTTCTGCAGAAAGGAACAAGCTCATGACTTTGTTTCACCATACATGCACCAAAGCCTTTTTCCATCTAACATAACAAAGTGGATCTTAAACATTTATTAGATGTGGTGGGGCTTAACAGCCTGCTGTTCACTGTTTTGACCCAAATTCTACTTGTTTGTACTACATGACCTGTCTCAATATGGCAGCCTGGCCTCTGAAAATGGAGGAGCAATTAGTTCTTCTACAGCACCCCATGGATATGGCACTGATACAAGAAAAACTTTCCAGCACATGAGAAGTTATTACACAGGGAAACCACTAACCTTCTTCTAATAGAACTTCTTGGTTGTATTTACAAGGGACTGGAGGAGAACTTGGTCACAAAAATCAGTGGTTTCTATACAGCAATGACCTGCTCTTATCTCATCTGTTCTTCACAGTCTACTCTGTAAAGTGCAGCTATTGATTTTAAGTGTTTTCATTCTCCTCAGAGTCAAGTCAGTTGTTACACATACTCTCAGATATTCAGGATTTCCTCAAGGCACAGCCTCAGGAAGGGCACAGCTGGTCCCAGGTTCTTTGAAGCAAAAGGAGAACTACCCCAGCAGCTATTAATTTCTCTGTTTCAGTGACTGCAGATCTGGCCTGGTAGGCCTACATGAGGAAAATAGCTCTTTGGCATCAATACAAACACCGACATAAAGTAAGCGAATCCAAGCCACATTGATCACCCAATTATAAAATCTACCACTTACAAGATAGAAAGCCCAGACATTTAACACCTCACAGAAGTACAGGAAAAGGAACCTTTCATTTTTTATAATAATAGTTGCTTGGATAGAGGAAGTCTTCCAGAAGGGGTGGCTAACACAGTAAAAATTGATTAGACCAACCAGTGTCTGACCTCTCACGCATCATGACCTTGATTTTCAGGAGCCACTTCTCTCAGTGAGAGTGGGTAAAAAAGAACAAAACCCACTAACCCTCCTTTTCTGAGAGAAGAGCTCAACTACCTCCTTCCCTTTATATCTAGGAAGGATGCTACAGGACAGGTTAGCAACACAGTTCAGGTCAACCAGGAACATAAACTGTGGTTTACTGGAGGATTTTTCACTTGTCCCTGTTTTAAACAAGCATCTGTGATCTTACTAACAAAAGTGCATAATAATGATCTATGATAAACAACTATCTTACAATTTACAATAACATGAATTATCTCCTCCAGCACAGGCCAGTAACACCAGAAAATTACTCTCCTTCTAATAGCTATTGAATAAATACATAGAGAACAGTTGTTTTCTCAAAGAGTTATTTATAATTACAGTAACAGTATGAACAAGGGAATTAACTTGTTTGGCGTAACTTGCTAAAGTGTAAATGAATTAAGACTTTCAAAGTACAAATAAAATTAACAGCTGTTTGTAAAAAAAATTATTAAAAAAATATCTCTGTTTAGCTCATTAAAAAACAGTAATTGAGAGAATCAAAGCAATCTTAAGCTAACAAACATAAGTTGATCCTTCTAAGTTTCCCTCTCTGGAGCTCTTTCTGATATTCAAGGATTCTCTGAGATTAAAGAAAAGCCAAATGTTGTAGTTTGGAAATAAATACTGACAAATGACAGCCACAAAAATGGCTGCTCTACCTTTGAAGTTGCCATAATTTTCACATTTCAGACAAAGGGTACACTTTTCAGCAGGTGGGTCAGAAGTAGTTTCACCCTCTCCTTTATAAACCTCTGATTAAGAATCACAAGCCAGCTACTGTCAGAGGCATCTTTTACTAGAATAAGAGACTCCTCTGAAACAGTTAAGCCCAAGAAGTAAAGTTTAGGCTTCCATGAGCGAAAAAAAAAATTGTTAAACTGGCATCTGAGGAAAAGCAGGAAGCCTCTCATCTTCCTGAGACAGGAGGCAACAACTTTCTCACGTCCATGCTCCACTCCCATGCCTCTGTCCTCTCATCTTCTCCTTCCTCCTGCACAACTTGCTTTCAGTCGAGTCTTGCAAGGTGGCTTCTTGCAGTCACCTGCATGGTTTCCTAATTTGCTCATGGAGGGTTCCCTCAGTGCATGGCTTTGGGAGCACAAAATGCACTAAAATTAAAATCTCACCCTTCTTTCTATTTATGAAAAAGAACACTGAAAAAAACATGGAAAGCCCCAAAATTGAATTTTAAGGGAACACTGGAAGCTTCCTATACCAACAGTAGCTCCCTTTCTATTGGTGGGACAACTGAGTTACGAAGCCACTGGAAGACTTGTCTAGAATAACATACAAGTCTCTAACAAAGACAAAAACAGTATCCAGCTTTCCTGGAAGGTAAATCTGAATGCTAGCCATGGGGCCACATTATCACATGAGCCCCACTGGCCCTCAGCATAACCCCACCTAACAGAGGTTTCCTCCTTGAGGAATCACATAATCACTTAGGTTAGAAAAGACCTTCAAGATCATCAAGTCCAACCTGTCTCCTTGTTGGTGCTGTCTTATACTAGACTGAAAAACATCTTGAGGATAGCCAAAAATACTCCAAACACTTTCTGAGCTATTGTTTCACTTCTCACAACTCTTATAACAACATGAACCATCTCTGCTTTCACTACTGCTGTTATTTTTTGTTTAACTCCAAGCATTATCCTCTGTGGGCATACATGGTTTTGAAACATGCTGTGCAGCACTGAACCATTCCTCTGCTAAGCTTCGGTGTGTTCTGGTAATTCCACCTGAGCAGAGACAGGTGTCTGAAATTTCAGTGTCCTTAGGAATACACACACCCAGCTACTTTTAAGTGCAGAATAAATGTGTAGAAAGGACACATTTCCAGCCCTTTAAAGACAACTAAGATAACCAAATTCAGCTGAGAAAGCCACTTTATGCACGAGTTAACATGCCAGATGCCAATTTTTCTTGTCACACACCTCCAACTAACTTTCTTTAAAACAACAGCCCTGTGTCAGATGAAGTGATGGGCAGGAATCATGGCAAGCAGATAGGTGAGAGGCACACTACCTAGTGCAGGTCCAGCTTGGTTACAGGTCTCCATGGGCAAAAACACACTAGGACTTCTCTTCTACCCAGGAAAGTTGTATGTCAGCCACAGGGAGAAGCAGGACAGTGCAGAAAATGTGGAAGAGTAATCTGTGTAACTCATTCCCAGTGTTTTAGAATAGATATGTGCATGATTAAGCCTGATTTCCCACTTGTCCAAACCTCGGTCACCCAATGCAGCTTCAAAATTCATTAGTTTCTATCTTAACTGCAATTGCATTAACTTGTCTATTGCAACAATATGCCCACCAGCACAGTCATAAAGATCAATGCTTTCAAACATGAGCACAGCAATTTCTTCAGCAGTTACAGGAACTGCTGAATTTTTTATTAGACCTTGGAAAAATGAAGGCCTACACTCACTAGACATCACCGATTTATCTTGTCATACACAAGATGCCTGAGCCCTCAGACATTAATGTAAGATAATCCAAGGTGCTAAGGTACATTGAAATGAATCTAACAAAACCTGTGGATTAACTTCAGTAGATCTTTTACAAGCATTTACTCAGTATCATACTGAAAGCAATTTTCATATAGACTGTAGTAAACATTCCCTTATCATGAGACCTGTGAACTGTGAGGTTAGGATTTAATCTATCATTACATGTCCAATGCAATTCAATGTTAGATAAAAACATATGCCTTACAGATGTTTTGGGGACAGCTCTCTGGTGTCCCCAAAAACTCTGTTTGATGGACAGCATACATACCATTTCTCTCCTGCCTTCATCTTTCTCTTGAAGTTTCAGATGAGCAGACACCTGGAATGCAATACAATGGAATTTGATTTTGAACAGGCCAGAAGCACAGCAACGAGCTGAACTGGATGTTTTAAGCACAACATCCCCATGTACCATGTAAACAACTTCTTCCAACCCAGTCAGGAAGGTTGAAATCACAAGCATCACATACACTTGTGCAGTAGGTAACTGAGTACTACCTGACGTAAGCTATCACTCAAGCATCTGAACAAAAAGCATACTAGAAAAAAGGCCTTTCTGCAAGACAAAGAGCTTGAGAGGAAGGTGGGAAAGTCATGCTTTTTACATTGCCACTAACTTCCCAGGCAATGCTAGAGTCACAGGGTTTCTGTGCTTCATCCATATCATAAGGACAAACTGCCATTCTCCAGGATGTGAACAAATGAGTACAGAAATAATCTTGTAAGAGTTGTCATCTGCTATCCCAAGAGATAGATCCACAAAACATTTTGATTAACCCTTATTAGAATCAATTAAACTGTTAAGTAATTATTTTTGTCAGAGCTTTGATTCATTAATTTAGACAACAAGTATCATCTAGGCTCAATTCTACAAAAGTGGTCCTATGGGACTGACCAGAATGTTCGAGAAAACTAAAGAAAAGAAAAACTTTCTCACAGAGAACAACATTTGCAGAAAATCAGCCATATAAAAACTAGTGATTTCTTCTGGCCTTAGAATCTGTGAATTGATGCTAGCACATGAGCAACCTTATGAGCATATGAGTATGAGCAACCTTAGCCTTATTTTCTTAACATCCTCTGAGAAAACCTGGCTTGTTTCTCAAGCTGAGCAACAGGTACTTTTAGACTGATTGGTCAAGCTAGCAACTAGTAATATTCTTGTTACTATGAAAAACAGTAAGAAGAATTTACATTGCATCTAAGTCTTCGAATTATTCTGTTCCTCTTGTTCTCATGTGAAGAACTGGAAGAAATTTTATACAATGCCTTTATTAAAGAAAAGGCATGGAAGAGCAGAAGTAGCAGACACCATGCTAAAGTAAAAATAGCACTTTGCAGTCAGGACATGGAAGAAGGGGAGAAAGGGAGAAGCAAGGTTACTCCACTACCACTGAAGAAAAAAATGGTGCCTACAAAGGCTCATTCTGTGCGAAATTGCAGGTTCCATTCTGTAGGAGGTTTAAGGAGTACAGCTTCCAAATCTTCTTCCAAATCATAATGCTGGTCACAAATTGAAAACGATAAAGCTAAAGGAGCTCAGACAACTCCTAGAAAGATGAGCTTTAGATGGAATTCAAGGCATCATCAAGGTCCAAGCACTTTCACTGAGGGGGATCAAACAGTGATAATGGCTCTTGACATTACCAGGAGTAAGAACCTCTGCACCATATACAGAGGGTTTTTTTTATTTTCTTCCATGCAAATAAATTAGGGCAAGAAACAAAGCTCACCATCATAGCTTCCTGGACAGTCAGATGAGGAAGAAGCATGTCATCTTGCATGATGTAGCAGGAGACTTTGCGAAAAGATCGCAGGTCACGAGGCTGTCCATTGATGAGAATTTCTCCTTTCATCCCCGTCTCTCTGAAATGAACCAAGAAGATAATCAAGGATGAATCTTGCCTTCATGTGTGCTGCCACAGGCCTCAGTATGTGGAAGTCTTAAGTAATTATTGCCCACTATGGAATAAAACAGATACAGTGGATGGAAACTGATTTATTTCATTATCACGTTCTCTTTCACAGGACGTTTCACACAATGCTGCTGAAAATTTTACTCAAAGTTAGTACAAAGTATGTGCTGTCTTCTATGGTAGTCCGAAAAAATATCACAGCATCACAGAATTTTGACTGGAAGAGACCTTAAAGATCATCGAGCTCCAACTCCCCTGCATGGGCAGCGACACCTTCCACTAGAACAGGCTGCTCAGAGCTCCATCCAACCTGCCCTTGAACACCTCCAGGGATGGTGCCACCACAACATCTCTGGGCAGCCTGTTCCAGTGTTTCACCATGCTACACTGAAGAATTTATGCCCGATCTCTAACCTAGATCTCTCTTTTTTTCCCTTGTCCTCTCACTGCAAGCCCCTGTAAAAAGCCCCTCCCCAGCTTTCCTGTAGCCCCCTCAGGTACTGGGAGGCCACTATGAGGTCCCCCCAGAGCCTTCTCTTTTTCAGACTGAACAGCCCCAACTCCCTCAGCCTGTCCTCATAAAAGAGGTGCTCCAGCCATTTAAGTAATTGCTTTTAGGTTTCTCCATTCTGTTCCTTATTCCCTAACAGCAATGACATAGAGTCACTTTGTATTTGGCCATACAATAGGGGATTAAAGAAGATGAACTACAGTCACTTCACACATTACAGTTTGGTCAAGAAGACATCAACATTATGAGAGTGTTGACTAAAAAGGGTCATTTTTTTCAAGTGTTTCTAACATGTGATTTAAAAAATACCACAAACATAAGACACTGAGTCAGATTTGTTACACAGAATGAAGAACATTTTTTTGTGTGTTCTGGACTTTAAATTGCTTCCTATTTTTAGATATAACTTCTTAAGAAATAAATCCTACGTGAACAGAGGAGAACAAGGAGAAAAAATAGAAGCAATAAGAATCTGATTCAAAATCTGTGGAATAACTGTTTCCTACAAACACTGGGGTAGAATTTCATCTGCTGTTGTCTCCAAGAAGCCACTAGGCTAGGTGATCTTATTTTACTTGGGACCATCATTGTCACTGACCTGTATCCTGCCAGAATGTTCATGAGCGTTGACTTCCCAGCTCCTGAAGGGCCCATAATTGCAACAAGTTCTCCACTGCTGAACTTCCCTGAAATTCCTTTCAAAAGGGTCTTATAACCTGAAAAAAAGAAAGAAAGGTTCACTGAACCCTTCACAATCACATCTGGGGAGCAATTAAAGTTTATTTCCTCCAAACACTGATGACAAACAGGCATTAGTGGATACCTACTGAGAAGGTGATGCTAAGATCAGCACACTGCAATAACTGTCAAAACAAAAATTCTGAGCA